AGGAGGAAGAGGAGGAGGGAGGAGAGGGGGAGGAGGAGGGGAGGAGGAGGAGGAGGAGGAGGAGGAGGAGGAAGGAAGAGAGGAGAGGAGGAGGAGGAGGAGGAGGAGGAGGAGGAGGAGGAGGAGGAGGAGGAGGAGGGAGGCGGACCAGGTGGTTTCATCCGTGTGCATGTGTGGGGGCAGTGCGCAGCAGCAGGAGGAGGCAGAGCAGCCCCTTCCTGGCCCAGGAGGTTCGGCACCAAGGACGCCCCATTCGGGCTGCACTGGGTCAAAGTGGAGCCGAGGACCCAGACCCCCGACATTGTAATTTTTCCGCGATGTCGACCCCCAGAGGTCTGGACACCTGCCCCGGGACTTGTTTTTCATCCCGAGTCGTTTTTGACGGTCCCGATTCCCGGGAAGGGCCCCGGAGGCTGAAAATAGGGTGATTTTTTGACAACGTGAGGGGGTCTAGGCCCCCCTGGTCGGGTGGGGCGGCAGGCTGCACCTGGGCCCGATGAGTGCGCCGGGCAGCGCCGCGGCGGGGTCGCTGCAGAAGCGGCCGTCCGGCGGGCTCCCGGTCTGCGCCCCTCCGCGGCGTTGCGGCAGGGCGGAAGCGAGGGGCGAAGAGGAGGCCAGGGGCGAGGAAGGAGGGCGCGATGGGGCTGGAGATGGGGAGGGGGGGAGGGAGGGGGACGGGAAGGAGGAGGAGGAGGGAGGAGGAGGATGAGGAGGAGGGGGAGGGGAGGAGGGGAGGAGGAGGAGGAGGAGGAGGAGGAGGAGGAGGAGGAGGAGAGGAGGAGGAGGAGGAGGAGGAGGAGGAGGAGGAGGAGGAGGAGGAGGAGCAGGGGGAAGGGGAGGAGGAGGAGGAGTAGTAGGAGGAGGAGGAGGAGGAGGAGGAGGAGGAGGAGGAGGAGGAGGAGGAGGAAAAGGGGCGGCAGACCGTACAAAGGCTTCGGGGCCGTCTTAATTTTTGTCGTTTCAATTTCTATAAGTCACAGAAAGCGAGACACGAGTAGAGCGTGGATGGGGAGAAGGAGGGGGATGAGGAGGGGAATGGGGAGGGTGAGCAGGAATTGCAGGATATGGGTATGAGGATGAGGAGATGGGATGGGGATGGGAATGATAATGGGGATGCGGGGGGGAGAGGGGGAGGAGGAGCAGGAGGAGGAGGAGGAGGACGAAGAGGAGGAGGAGGAGGAGGAGGAGGAGGAGGAGGAGGAGGAGGAGGAGGAGGAGAAGGATAAGGAGGAGGAGGAGGAGGAGGAGGAGGTTCAGAAGGAGGAGGGGGCAGAGGAAAGGGACTGGTAGGGGAGGCATCTTGCGTCTCCGCCCGTATTCGATCATCGACGGCTACGGGTGACAGCATCAGAGCATGCAACTAACGAGGGCGAGGTCAAGATGTTCGATCTCCGTGGCCTGCCTCCCCACCGCGGGGGGCATCTCCCAGAGACAGCGCCCGTCTTTTCATGATCAGCGTTTTTCGACTGGGTGACTGGGTGAATGCCCGAGGTTGTAAGCGAACTCAGTGGGAGATCTCTTTTTCAGTCCACCCGCATAGTAAGGATGGGCGACCTTCCAAGGGTACCCGTGGATCCTTGCCCCTTCGGCCCATCCTTAGCCACTTTCGCTGGCCAACCTCGTTCGAAAAAACGCTCACGTGGGCCTCCTTGCATCCTTACAGCGCATCCTTATGATACGGGTTGACTGTACGTACGTAGATCGAGGTCGCCGGCAGAGCTCACGGAGGGGAGGGGAAGCTTCCCAGAGGCTTTCCTCTGTCTTCAGAAGGCCTCCAAGGCTTGCCAAGGGTGGCGATCTCAAGGATTATGAAGAAGATGCTGATGAGGATGATTGTCCAGCCCCCCCAGTCCCATCCACACACACATTCACCTGCATCCACTCCCGTTCACACCCGACACGCTCACGCATGCACCCACTCGTTCGCTAGTCGCCCACTCGCTCGCACGGGAACGGGCGACTTTCCCACCCCTCGCTCGCAACAAGGTGAGGAGGAGGATTCCAAGCCCGCTATAGGCTTAAAGGGTACCTAACCCATCTTTAAGGATGAGGCGGCCATCAACGAAATACTCGAAACCGTGCGACTGCGAGGAAGACACAATCTAATAGTTTGCCGACCGCACGCCACGTCCTCATAGTCGGAGGTACTGCAGAAAGCTATCGACCACGTGCTGGCACCAGGGGGGGTCCATGTACCCGTTTTTCTTGCCAGCGGCTGTGCAGGACGTATTCCACTAGCCCATAGCTTTCGACCATACCTCGGGATAGGATGCCAAATCCTTCGACGGGGATTTGGGAAGTCACCCCCGCTCTGATCGAGCGGTTTGGGGCTCCACTGTCGAGGAGGAGGAGGCGGAGGAGGAGGCGGAGGATGGTGATGACGGAGGAGGTAGCGAGGAGGGTGAAGGAAAGATGCTCAGGTGCTCCCGACCTCTGCTGAGGTGCGCGGGCCGACGCCTAATCAGCGGCCGCTCAGGACCGCGTGCCTGCCTTTTGGCCTCCTCCAGGCCTACAATGCGGTGGAGGAGACAACGACGCCTTGGGCGATGGGGGACGATGTGGGTAGCTGTGGGGAATCGTAAGGCTCGAGTTCGCCTGAACTCGGGCTTGCCGACGCTTTTTGATTGGCCCGTCCTGAATTTTGACGGTCCAGTTTTCGTGGGATGTTTGCAGCGGGGTTTGCGTCACATTGCAGATTTGTTTCGTCGTTCCCCTGACGGCCTTGTCAGGCCAACCCGAGTCTCCCGAACCCGAGTCTTACGTCTCCCGGTATGTGTGTAAACTCTCGTGACGTTTCGTTATCTCTCTTCCATCAGAAGAGTTTGGGACGCGTTCCCTTGCGCACCCCTTCAGCTTTCGGCTGCAGGTTGGATGGGCGTGTGTCTCCCTAAGCGGCGACTGCGGTAGGTGTCCCGTCTACATGGCAAGAGAATTGGTTCCTGTGCTTTGTCACCGCCCGCGTTCCACTAGTCGCAGAGTGTCTGCTCGCAGACGCCCGAACAACGCATGTCTGCTCTGAGGTAAGTTGTCGCAGGTCCATCTGCGAGCAGTTAAGTACTCTGCGAGTAGTGGAGCGCGCTCGTCTACTCTAGAGTGCGAAGCACGTGCCGCCCGCGTGCCGTGCCGTGCCGTGCGATGTCGTGCCACGCGTCCTACACCGTGAAAGCTGCGACGCCCGCCGCCCGCGTGCCGTCCCGTGCGGTGCCTTCGCACGTGCCGTGCCTGCGTTCTAGGATTCGAGGATCGTGCCGCCCCCGTGGCAATCTGTGTCGTGCCGTGGCGTGGCGTGCGGTGTCCGCGTGCCGTGCCGTGCCCGCACTCCAAACTGCGAAACAAGGTGCCGTGCCTGCGTGCCTGTCCACGCCAGCGCTCCAGAGTGCGAAACATGTGCCGCCAGCGTGCCGTAGCGTGGCGTGCCGTGCTTTGCCCGCGTCCTGGAGTGCAGCAAACGTGCCGCCTGCGTGCAGTGGCGTGCCGTGCTCGCGTGCCGTGCGCGTGCCGTGCCGTGCCCGTGCGTCGTGCAGTGCACGCGGATTTCTATGTTGGCTCACCATGTGTTGCTATGCTGGTGTGGTTTCTTGAAGCTTCCCAGGGACTCAGACCTCTTTTTTTGCGTTGCCGATTGCTGGGTGGAGGAAGGGGAAGAGGGAGAGGAAGACGCAGGACTGTATGTATGGATTGTTTGGTATATTCATATGTATATATATATATATATATAGATCGATCGATCTGATATAGGTATATACCCACCCAGCTGAAAACTCCGTCTGGCCGCGCTGGCCCCTTCGCAGCTTTGACTGTGGCGAGGCGGCCCGAGGCTGGGTGGGCCTCTTCCTGGTTTGTTCCTCCTGGCTCGCCACCTCATCCGCGGTGGCGCGGCCGTCGACTGGCAGCCTGGCCATCTGAGCCACGGTGCTGGTCTCGGGACCCCGAGCTGTCCGCGGTTCGGTCCCACGCGCGATGCTTTTTTTTCCGCTCCGTGGATCTCGGCGGAGCTGCTACTCGGCATTTCCCACAGGTGCCGTGTGCTGTCGTCGATGTGGTGTAGCCGTTGAGGCCAACAAGAACTGTGTGAGCATCCAGAGCCAACTTTAAAAACAAAAGGGAAACTACTCACATCCTTTTGTTTCAAATTCGCCCATGCCACCCCGTTCCCTCCCGTCCCAGGCTCTGGCGTGCCCCAGAGTGCGCTTCCTTTTTCTTCGCCCCTCGCTGCCCATTCTCCCTGCTCTCACTCCTGCTCTTGGTTTTCCTGCGTCTCCCGTTCCACATTCCTTTCGTTTCTCTCCTCCTCCATCGGCGTCTGCCGATCGCTGCGCACTACTTCATAGCTGCTATTGCGGTGGCCGTTCCCGAAATGCCTGCCCGAGAGCAGACCGCACGGAGGCCTGCTTGCCGATCGCTGCGCACTGACACACACACATATGTATGTTTATATTCATACACAGATGTTAACTTACGTTTCAGCTGCTGTTTCATATGGCGCGTTCCATTGCTTCGATAAACGGCCCTCGTGACACAACCCGGGACGCACTCAACAACTGGTTCCCCTATGCACATTGCCAGGATCTCCATAATCTCTTTGCGTTCCTAACTGGCAATTTGTTTGCGGTACGAGTTCCTTAGGTACGACTCGAACCTGAGCGCGCGAAGCGCGCGCGTGGTTCTATATATATATATATACACACACCGATATATGCACAAGTATACCAGTATATATCATCCGCCTTGATGTCGCGTTGTGTCCATTCGTGAGTTGCATTGTGCGTCCAATGTCGATCGATCGATGATGATGTCACCCCCCCAAATCCCCATCACCCAGAACGGATGGCCTATGTTGTATCCCCAACCCTCCTGTGCGTTGGGTCCTCGTTTTGAATTCGCAGCGCCGCGCCTCCTTTTTCTCCCCTCCTCCCCCTCCTTCCCTTTTCCACCTCATCCTTTTCATGATCATCAACCCCATCGTCGTCATCACCATCGTCGTCGTCAGCATCATCGCCTTCATCCTCGGAACAACCATCATTCACATCAGAGTTTCCCCACACCCCTCCCACGTTTCGCTGCCCCAGAGGGAGCTCCACTGACGGCCCCAGTGGCAGGGTCCGCATGAGGACTCGGGTCCATGTGGGCACAGTCCACAAACGACTCGTGGCCTCATGGGGAGCTCTGCCCGACAAAAATATCGGTGTTTGCGTGCCAGAACGTTTTCATTTGCGGAGCTGGGCGCCCTGGCGCGAACGGCCGAACGACCCCTGCAGCGGGACACTCTGGCAACACGGTTGCCGCCGCAAAACTGTTGGTTCAACGGCGACACCGCGCAAAGGCGACGCCGAACATAAGGTGCCGCGCAGCAGGGTCCGCATGCGGTCTTGGGCCAGTTTCGGCACACCTCTCATACGTTTCGTAGCCCCCATGGAGAGCCCCACCGAAGGCCCCAGTGGCGGGCGGACCCGGGTTACTCTCGGCGCGCCTCTCGCACGATGCGTGGCCCCATGTGGAGCTCCACCGAAAGCCCCAGCGGCAGGGTCTGAACGTGGGCTCGGGCCGATTTTGGCACAC